ATCATCATCATCATCATCATCATAAAAATCGTCATCGTCGCGTTGGTCACAACATCATCAGAATAATCATCAGCAGCAGCAGCACCGACATCATCATCATAATCCGAATCAGCATCACCCTCATCAGCGTCAGCGTCAGCATCATCATCATCACCATCATCATCATCATCATCATCATCATCATCACCATCACCATCATCATCATCATGATTATCATCATCATCAGCATCATCATTGTCGTCGTCGGCATCGTAGGAATCGTCATCGTCATCGTTGTAAACAGCATCATCACCACAACCACCAGCAACATCACGATTTGCATCGTCGTCATCACCACCACCACCATCACCCTCAGCCTCATCCTGATCACCATCACCACCGTCAACTCATGCGATTACTGTATCTCCTCCTCCGCCTCCTCTTCTTCCTGCTCCTCTTTTTCCTCCTCCTCCTCCTCCTCCTCCTCCTCCCCTTCCCCCCCCCCACTCCTCCCCCCCTTCGTTCTCCTACTCCCTACCTCACTCCCTCTCTCAATCACTCTTTGTCGTTGCCTGCGTTCCTTCGCCTCCTCCTTCCGGGATGAGGAAAAGCAGGAGGAGGAGAAAAGGGGGGAGAGGGACAAGCCAGGCTCGCTCGCGCCATATTCGACACCCTACTAGTCCGCCCCATTACGTCCCATGTCGCGGTTTTGTTCTCCATCCGCAAGAAAAACCATAGTAGACCCAGGAACACAGTAGAGAGGGACAGGGCGTGATTTACGCAAGCAGACGAAAGGAGTCGTGCACATTGGAATAGATGGCGGATGAGCAAGAGGATGAGTAGAAGGAAGAACAGGCTGAAAAAAGGCAGGAAAAAAGGGAGGACAAAAGAACTGGAATCGTGGCTTGGTGACTGCGAGAGAGAAAGCCCGGCGGCAATACAGTAAAATGTAGAGCGTTATTTTTCTTCCTCGGCAAAGCAAGCTGTCACGCCGGCGCTTGAGCCCACGCGGCAACCAGGCATCAAATTCGACCCGAATCGGCACGGACAATCGATCGAACAGCCCTGGCGGAGCAAACAAACCAAGACAAACGAACGCCAGATTGTCCAATCTCCGCGCTCCTTCCCATCCCATCAAAGATACCCAGTCGCCACCTGGGAGGCTCGCCGGGCCGGGCGGAGCGCGCGCCCACCGACTGCACTCAGTGAGCCCGCTCGTGCTCTCAGGAACGGCACAGAGCAGCTCGCCTGAGCGGGGGCAAGGTAGACTGCAACGCGCCGTGTCTGTAGGGACCTCGCGCTGCGGTCAGCGTGTCTGGAAGCCTGCAGCTTGGAAGCCAGGCTCGGCGATGGGGCGGCACCGAAGCCGATGGAGGCGAGGATGTGGAAGGAGCTGCTTTGGATTGGTAGGTGGGAGCGGCGAAAGATTGGAAACTCCTTGAGGGCGCGCGGCTGGTCCGCACTGCGCCTGACCGGGCAGGGCGCAGTCCCTGTCCTGCGGGTCGCGCGGGTCGCGCTCCCCGCCGCCTTCCGACACTTCCGTAGAGGGCGCTTCTTCCTCGCATGCCACCTGCGCGGCCGCTGTCTTTTCGCCGCGGAAAAGGCAGCTGCGCGGGCCGCGCCACAAGCACGTTCGGGTTTGAAGCCGCCGCGCCGGGTCTTTTTGGCCTTCGTCGGTATAGCCCGCGCGGGCGACGCGGCCTCGGGCGCGCCCTTGTCCCTGTCCTCGTTGTTATGACTGTCCGCGCCGCCCTTGGACTGATGGGGCCCGCTCACGTACCTCGCATGCCCGATGCCCCCGATCGGGGCGCGGCCGCCTGTCCCGCGACGGAACGTGGACCCCCGGGGGCCTGAAGATCAGCGGGAGCTCCATCTCGGACGCGCCCGCGCACACTGCGAGGGCCGACGCGGACGGTCGCCGCGCCCCAGCGGCGGGCCCGGCGGGGGGCCCGGCGGCGGAGGCAGCTTCAGCGGGTCGGACCGCGAGCGCCTCTCGTGGCCCGCGCGAGGCGGCCCGCCCCCAGCCCCCACACCCCACAGGGCCCCGGCCATAGCTGAGCCGCGGGCCCCCGGAGACTAGGACCCAGCGGCCGCGGCGCTCCAGCCTGTCCTTGGCCGCGAGCGCACGGGTCGAAGTGGCAACCAGCCTCCGCGCAAAGCAAAAGATCATCGGGCACAGCGCCTCTCCGCCCACGGCCGGGAGGACGCCCGGGCCCGCGTCTCTGCCGCTGGGGCGACTCGAACCCGGCACTCCATCAAGCCGTCGTTGAACAGGCACAGCCTGGCCATGGCCTTGGGGAGAGGCTGGCTAATGCGACAGTTCCAGCTGAAGCGGTCGACCGCCATGGCGTCGCCCAGCGCCGGCGCCAGCATCTCGCCCCCAGCCGCCTCCTCAGCTCGATCCACGGCGCGCTCGGTGCCCTCCTCGAAGTAGGTGCTCCGGTCGATGACGACGCTCTGGCCCTCGGGCGGCGGCGGCGGCCCTGGCGCCGGCGGTCGGGCTCTGGGCGCGACCCGAAGCCTCGCCGGCAGCGGCCGAACCAGCCACGGGGACGCCGAGGGGGGTGGAGCCGCTGGCATCACAGGGGCGCGGCGTCGCTGCCGGCGGGAACGCCCGCGGGGCACTGGCGGCGAGCGCCAGCGCCAGCGGCGGCGCAAGACCTCCACGAGATCGGGGTCTCGCGAAAGCGATCGAGACCCCATCGCGACCCCATTCGGGGCGTCGCTCAGAAGTCGCAGCCGGCGGCTTCGAGCGCGCCGCGGGCGGCGGCATCATGAGCCGCGCGCCTGGCGGGCGCAGAATGCGGCCCAGCTCCGCGACCTCGGCATCGCAGGTGTTCCGAAGCGCGGGAGCACCAGCAGTCGCCGCTGGCGCTCGACTCGCGCGCCGCGGCGGACCGGCGATGGCCCCCGATGAAGATGGCGCCCGCCGCTAGGGCACAGCGGCGGCCATCTGAGGAAGCACGGCCGCGCGCGGCCCCGTCGGGGGCGCGCGCTGGCCCCGCCAGGAGCTGGCCGTCGCAGACCGGAGCGCGGGAACCCCGCGCCGCGCGCAGCCCGCGCAGTTGAACAAGCAAGCGGCCGCGAATATCGCACGCGCAAAAACGCGCACACACACACACACACACAGACACACAGACACACAGACACACAGACACACACACACACACACACACACACACACACACACACACACACACACACGTCGCACCCGCGCACGCCTCCCCAACTCCCATGACATCATGACCACGTCCACACAGCGCCCGCCGCGCCCAATAACGCGAGAACGCCGATTGGACCTCCAGGTGAGAAGCGAAGAGAAGATCGGCGGTCGGCGGTCGAACAGGTCACTGCTGATCCCCAGCCGCCACGGGCCGGCGCTCACGGCCCGATAGCACGGCGAGCTTGCCCGCGGCGCTGAGGGCGACAGCATGCGAGGTGCAGTCTCTCCTGCGAAGTCCGCCGCAGACTGCGCGGAATGCCGCGCGATGGATGAAGCCCTTCGCGGGCCCAACTGCAATCGCGTCGCGGGGGCCCCCCCAGCTCAGGGCCGTCAACTGGCCCGAGCACAGGAGGTCGCGAAGCGACAGCGAGCGCGGCAGCAGCGAGTGCGCCGCCAGCGGCACATGCCTGGCGGCCGCCAAAGCGGCGACAACTCCCGTTGACTGCAGGCAGAGCCCGAGCTGCACAGCCCCGTCTCGCTGGCCCCGCGCGGCGCACGCACCGCGCGGGCCTCCGGCCACCTCGCGGAGCGCGGCGGCGAGCGCCAGGCCGTGGTCGGCGGGCGAAGTCGCGGCCATCAGCTCAGTCGCGAGGGCGCGACAGGTCACCGTCTTGGGCGCCCCACATTGCCGACCCAGCACATGGCGCGAGATGGCGCCAGCGAAGGACGCCGGCGCTGGCGCCGAGGACGCGGCGCCCATGCGCGGGAACACTGCTCCGCGCACAGCACGGTCTGCACGCGCACCCTCCTTCTGCCCGTTGCGGAACGCCGCGTCGGAGTGGAATGCCATTTTAGCCGCGCACCTGCTGGCTGGGCAGTGGATCCTCATCGGGCTAGCTTGCGCCCGCCTAACCAACGCGTTGAAACGACAGACGCGGCCGCACGCGGGCGCTGCGGCGCGCCACTGCAGCGCGACCACATAGACAGCGACGCGCATGTCAACGCGCGCGATGAGGGCGAACGCCGAGGCCATGAGGAGGCCGAGAAGCAGCGTAGCCAGGCAGCCGGGCGCAAGCGCAGCGTTAGCCTGTCCAGAGAGCCCAGCGCCACCGACGGGCTCGACAGCCTGCACGCCCCCGCCGTCACTCACGGGTGAGCGCCAGGCCCCTCAGCATGAAGGCCCCTCCTGAGATGTCCAACTCGCCCGCGCCACGGGCGCCCTTCTTGCCGAGCGGGGCCCCCCAAGGAACCGCAACGATTTCGAAATAATACATTGTCCGACGCGTTGTTTCCTCAAGCTGGACCGCGGGGGAACATCGTGGATCGCCCGCGCGCCATCGAATGGCCGCGCGCCGCACGCCCCCACCATCGAATCGCGCCAGGCGCACCGCGGTGGCGCGACCAACGCGGCCCCCGAGCCAGGCCGACACATGACCGCCATGGAACTCTCACCGCGATGACGCATCGTTCCGCGGTCGTCGGGCATAGCGCCCGCGCGAGCCTCGAAGCACGCAGCCGTCGAAATCCAAACGAAATCGGCGCGGACGCGCAGCCGTCGAAGCGCCGGGCGCTGCCCCAGCCGCGCGGCCAATTGCTCGCGCGGGAGAAACGCCTCCCAAGCCGACTGACGATGGAACGCGCCGGCGCGGGACCGACGGTTTACGAGAAAGGGCCACTTTGGAGACCCCGCGCGAAGGAGAAGCGCCCGAGCGCGAACGCCGCGTGGGGAATTGGCGGGACGCTGGAGACCATTGGATCTCATGCCCGCGCAAGTCGAGCAAACCCCGCCCCCGGGGAGCGGCGCGCGCGGGGCCCACCGCGGGCGCGGGGGCCGCCGGCGCAGACTCTGCCGCAACCGCGGCGAAGGCCCGCCGCTCTCCCTCAGGGGCCACGGCGCGCGGCTGCGCTAACGGCGAGAAGAGGGGCCCAACGGCACACGTCGGCCTCGAAGCCCCAGCGGCCGCGGGCGGGGCGGCGCAATCGCAAGCCCGTCGCGCGAGGCAGCGCAGCCCGCGGCGAGGCGCAAAGGGCCCGACTCACGGCCTTGGGAAGCCTGCCCAAAGAATGATCGAAGCGACCGCCCTCGAACCAGCCGAAGGGGGCCCTGCGCGACGCCCGCGCGCGCGACGGGGCGCTCTGCCCAGCGCGCCGTCACTCTTGAACTGCGTTTTGCTTCGAACGCTGCACTCGGCCCGCCCACAAAAAAATCCCCCGACACGGCGGCCGAGGCTGCGATGCGCGCGACGCCAGAACGCCCAAAAATAAATACCTGCCACTTCGGCGCCGGCGACCACGGACCGCCGACGCCGACCTCTTGCCGCGCCCGCGAATCTGGACACGGCGACGAAACCGCCCGACGCGGGTTACACCACGGGACGGGTCCGAGAGGTTCGGAGACGTTCCGGAGATGTCTCGCGAACGCTTCTGCCCCCGGGAGATGTTCGGAGACGTTCGGGAGATGTCTGTAAATTCGTTCGTTCCCCGGAGATGATTGGAGACGCCCCGGACATGTTCGCATATGCTTGTCGGGCGAAGTTCGGCCCGCGAAGGGGCCGGGTTCGCATGGCCAGCCCTGTCCTGCGCGGCATGTTATAGCACTTCAGGCGGAGAACGCTCCACGAACAGAATCGGGCTCGCGCAGCCGCCATTTCGGTCAAAATGACCGCGTCGTTTTCGACGCCGCGGAGGCGCGTCGGAGATGTTCGGGAGATGTGCCAGAGATGCTTGTAGGCGATTTTCCTGGCGCGGAACTGTTTCGGGGTTGTCTGGGAAATGCTTCTTTGGGAGTGCTTCAACGCGTGCGCGACGAGGCCCGCCAGGTCCTGCAGCGCACCTAACCTGCCCACTTCCACCCACATTCCTCATCTCCCCTTCCCCTTCTCCGCCCCCCCCTCTATCTCCTCGCATCTCTCTCCTTCTTCACCCCCCCACCCTCGCCACCCCCCCACCCACCCCCCTCGCCAACCCTTCCCTCATCCGCCCCCGCCGCGCAAAATCCAGCCACCGAACCACGCGATCCACACCCCCCCAAAAAAAAAAAAACGGACAACCCATGCGGACGAGCGACGCCAAAGTAATTCCCCAGTCGGACCTAACCGAATAAAGGCTGGACAACCCGCTACTCGGGCCCCTTACACGGCGAGGGCATCCTCTCCAATCGAGCGGGGGGCCCTGGGGAGCCCCCGGCCCCCTCCCCGACCCCCCCGCCGCCTTTCCGCGGCGCCCCCCCCCATCACGTTTGGCGACGATTTGGGGCGCTTTTCTGGCCCCGATTCTGCCAGTTGCTTTGGCCCCCTTGAGCGGAATCGCATTTTTTTGCCCGCGAATAATCTCACGCTCAAATCAGTGAGAGAATAAACCGCGCTCAAAATCGCAAGTGGTTTCGCGGGGCCCCCCTTACGAGAGGACGCGGAATCGCGGCCAAAAATCGCTGGCAAAATCGCGCCCGGAATCGCCGACAAAATCGCGCCCAAAATCGCAAGCGAAATCACGGGCGCAGACTCGCGGGCCTGCCCGGCGCGCCGGCATGCCAAGCAGGCGCGCCCGCGCCAAGCAGGCGCATCAGCGACGGCAAGGAAAGGGGAAAGAGCAGGGAGCGGCAGCAGCAGCGGACGGGCACGCAGCAGCAGCGGGACGAGGAAATAAGAAGAAAGAGCAGCAGGAGAGGAGGAAAGAAAGAGTCGTCGAAATTGGAATGCCCGTGAGTCGCGCGCCTCAAAGCACACTGGACATGCTTCTCGGGGGAAACTCGCCGGCCCAACGTTCCAGACGCGTGCGTGGATCTCTGGCGACTGCCTAGCTGAATTCGCACTTCGCGCGCGCGAGGCGGCCCCCGGGGGCCCCCAAGCGCAGGGCGGCCCGGCCATTTCGGGCCAGAAATGGCTCTCCTCCTGGGCGCGGCTTCCAGGCGCCCCAAGGCGATCCAAAAGGGCCCCGAGGAGCTCCCATGACGGTCCAAGAGGGCCCCGAGTCGTCGAACGATCGGTCCACGACGCCCAAGATGGCTTCCAGACGGCCCACGACGCGCACAAGACCCCCGAAGAAGCCCCCGCGAGCTGAAACGACACCTGAAAACGCGGCTCTGAACTTAGAAGAAAAAGGGTAACAGAGAGACGAGGCCGAAACAGACCGGGGGCGACACCGCTCACATGACGCGCCGAGCCGAGATAGCGCGCAGGCCGCACGCCGAATGCCCAACATCGGAACGGGTCGGCGACATGACAACTTCTGAACAAAGGAAAAAAGAAAAACTTGGAAACATATTTTTTGGCCTCGGAAAAACAAAATCGCTGCACCAATCCGCTTGGGGGGCGCAGCTTCATGACTCTTCAAGCACTTACGAAGCTGGTCCTTTTCTT